GGAAGATATGTTATTATTGATTTACTAATAAATGATAAGAGAACTCTTTTTGTTGGTTTATATGCTCCCAATCAACAACAAAAACATTTTTATAAGTTGATTCATCAGAAATTAACTTCTTTGGATTATAAGTCAGTTATTATGATGGGAGATTGGCATGGTGTTTTAGACTCAAGTAAAGATAAGAAGGGTCCTTTTAAAGTTTCTAACCATGCAAGACTTTCTAAAGTTTTTTTTTTTACTTAAAGGATGATTTGGAACTTAGAGATATTTGGAGAGAACAGAATACTGAGGAAAAAGACTTTACTTTTTTTCGGATAGACACCAATCTTATTCTAGAATTGATTTTTTCTTGGTTACTAGTGATTTCCTTTCTAGGGTGAAGAATACCAAGATATTTTCTAGAATAATTTCAGACCACAGTCTGGTATGGTTGGAAATTTCATCAGAAGAAAGAATAGAAGGTCTTGGAGGTTGAATGAGAATTTATTTAGATATGAAGAGAATATACAGTGATGTAAAGGTTATTTAAAGGAATCTTTTGCTTGGAATATGAATAAGGGTACTTCGATGCCAATGGTATGGGATTCTTGTAAAGCATATATGAGAGGGGTTTTGATTTCTATGAACAATGCTCACAGATGTAAACAGACCCAGAAACGTAAAGATCTTGAAGATGAGATTAAATGTAAGGAAAAGATTTTAATATCTAATCCAATGGACAATAAGTTAAAAGTTTCTATTATTTTGCTGAAGGAGCAATTTAATATGTTATTAGCAGATCAAATGGCAACTAATTTGAGGTATGTGAGACATAATACATTTTGTAATGCAAATAAACCTGGTAGATGGTTGGCTTATCAATTACATAAGAAACAGAAATCGAGGATTATAGATAAAATAATTTATAAAGGTAAAGAAATCTACCAACAAAATTTGATTAAAAAGTCTTTTTTAGATTTTTATTCTAAATTATATGCTAGTGAAAGTATACAAACTTCAGATATAGAAAAATATTTACATAGAGCACATTTTCCTAGACTTACGAGTGATCAATGTGATGGGATTAATGGTTTAATTACTTCTGAAGAGATTATTTTTGCAATTAAACAATTGAAGATTGGTAAGACTCCAGGTATTGATGGGTTAACCGATTTATTACAAGATGTTATCTGAAGAAATGATAGAACCATTAAAGGTACTTTTTAATGATATTTTATCTGGAGCAGAATTACCTCCATCTTGGAGAACGGCCTTCATATCATTAATTCCAAAGGATGACCAGGATCTGTCCCAACCTAGAAATTACGGGCCTATATCTCTTTTAAATACAGATTTAAGATTTTTGCAAAGATACTGGCAAATAGATTAATGCAGGTTTTGAAACAATTGATTCATACTGACCAATCTGGATTTATAATGGGGAGATATATGAAAAACAATGTAAGACAAATTGTTAATTTAATAGAGTATTTGGATAAGAACAACCAAATCCCTGCTGCTTTAATATTTATAGACGCTGAGAAAGCTTTTGATCAATTAGATTGGAATTTTTTATTGAAAGTTGTAGAGGAAATGAATTTTGGAGATAAATTCTTGTCTGCTCTCAAGGCCATTTATCAACAACGATCGGCACAAATTATAGTTAATGGGGGATTAACAGATGTATTTAAAATAGGAAAAGGTACAAGACAGGGTTGTCCTTTATCCCCCTTGCTATTTGTATTAACAATGGAGATTTTACTTATTAAAATTCGAGACTCATCTAGATTGAAAGGAATAAAAATAAGTAAGATTGATTATAGGCTGAGAGCTTTTGCTAATGAGTTGGTTGTGACATTATCCCATCCAACAGATTCGGTCAAAGATTTGGTTGAAATTTTAGCACAGTATGGACAGGTCTCTGGTTTTAAGGTAAATAAGAATAAAACTAAAATATTATTGAAAAATATGTCTAGGAAGGGAAAAGATTTTATAGCTGAAACAACTGGTTATGAAATAGTTAATAAGGTTAAGTATTTAGGCGTTTATATTACAACATCTAATGGAAAATTGTATAAGAATAATTATGAACGCTTATGGGTTAAAGTTCAAAAAGATTTAAATGATTGGCAAAAGCTACAACTATCGTTATTGGGGAGAATTTCAGTAGTGAAGATGAATGTTCTACCAAAGTTTCTTTTTTTGTTTCAGATGATACCCATTTTAAAGAAGGATGCTAATTTGGATGAGTGGCAGAAGAGTATTAATAAATTTATTTGGGGCGGGAAGAAATCAAGGGTAAAGTTTAAGATTTTACAAGATGCTCGAGAAAGAGGTGGACTTAAAGCACCAAATTTGAAATTATATTATGATGCGGCCACTTTAACTTTAGTAAGTGACTGGCTTAATTTAACAAATAGAGATATTCTTGTTCTTGAAGGGTGGGATTTATTATATGGTTGGCATGCATATTTAATTTTTGATAAGAAAGTAGATTCGGTCTTTAAGTCACATATTTTAAGATATGCTTTACTTCGAGTTTGGAAAAAATATTATTATAAGTTAAATTATAAAATACCTATTTGGGGGATCCCTGGACAAGCAATCTAGGGGGTTTCTAAGGGGGTGAATTTTGACAACATTTCGTATAAAGAGTTACTTATTTGGTCGGGCACTGATTGGCAATTAAAGTTTTCTGATGTGTTACGGCAAGAAAACATTTTACAATCGTGGTTTCAATATTTGCAAATCGTGCAGAGATGGACTTTAGATAAGAAAGTGGGAATTACTAGAATTTCATCTACTTTAGTAGATGAAAATTTGGTAATTCGGGTTGGGGCTGTGTTAAGCCACTTAATGGCTGATGGGAGGCAGAAGCCCACCACATATTACTCCAGGACCCTATTGTCCACAGAGCGCAACTATGCGCAAATTGACAAGGAGGCTCTGGCCATTGTGGCCGGAGTTTAAAAGTTCAATGACTACTTGTATGGCCGCCAGTTCACAGTCTTCATGGACCACAAGCCACTCCTAGAGTTGTTCACCACAATTTCATAATCCCGAGCTCTTTAAGGCCCAGAGTATCTGCACGAGGGTCATCCAAGAATAGTCTGGATGAAGGCACTTGCGAGGAGCTACCTTTGGTGGCCAGGGCTAGATAAAACAGCAATCCAGATTGGAGATCCCGCAAGCCCCTGTCCACCAATGGGAGGACACACACACACACACACACACACACACACACACACACACCGTGGCCAAGAATCCACATTGATTTTGCTGGGCTTTTTCATGGACAGCTGTTTCTAATAGTGGTAGATAGCCATTCTATGACTACTATGACTACTGCCAGGACCATCCAGGAACTGTGCAGAATCTTTGCAACACACGGATTTCCAGATATGTTAATCTCAGACAATGGGGCTCAGTTTACCACTTCTGAATCCCAGTCTTTCCTCAGGGCAAATCTAGCATGACATGCCACATCGGCTCCCTTTCATCCGGCCTCAAACAGCCAAGCGGAACGCATGGTCTGCACAACCAAAAAATCACTAAAACAGATTGTCACAGGGGATTGGCATCACAGACTGGAAGATTTTCTACTCTGCCAACACACAACTCCTTGTACCGCCACAGGCAGAAGCCCTGCCAAACTCAGATGGGACTGATGTTTGATCACCAAGCTGGACAGGCTGCATCCCAAACGGGTTGCCTCGGACTGTGCTCAGCCAAAGGCACCTCGGAATTTGCAAGTGGGTGACTGGGTTTGGACCCGGAATTACAGGCAAGGAGCTTTGTGGGTGGCAGCTGTGGTTGTTAAGGTGTTGGGACCACTCTATGAGGTGGTCCTAGAAGATGGGTGAGTCATTCGCCGACATTGACCAGCTGTGTCGGAGGCTAGTGAACCAGTTGCTGGCTCAGGCCTCTCAAGAGGGCCACACGCAAGGGCCGTGCAACAGCAGGCCAACAGAGGAGCTTGCACACTCCAGCAGAACTCTTACTCAAGGAGATAGGGAAAAGGCCATAGGAGAGCTTCCCCCGGACAGAAAGACAGTATCTGCTGAACAGGACCAGCAAACCGTGCTGGGGGACAGCTCTGAAGACTTTGCTGCACGATTGGACTTTGGTTTAGGCCGACCGGGACTGGCCAGCCAAAGGGACCTGAGTCAACCTGACTTCACTGGACCTCAGAGTCCTGGTCTACTCAGCCAGTAGACCTGCAACCCCTAGACATTCAGAACGGTCAAGAAGGCCACCTAAATATCTGCAGGACTATGTCCAGCAATTGAGAGTTTGAGCCATCTAGGGGAAAGGGGTGTAATATATTGGCCACAACTGTTTTAAATCACTTGCTTAATATCTGACCTACATTTCTGTATTGTTTGACAGTTGCTGTTACTGAAAGCCAGACTGGCTGTCTCCAAGCTGATAATGAGGTTTTAGGCGGGGAACTCTTACTTTAAACCTATTGGTTGCCACCTAGAGGCTAACTGTATAAATAGCTGTGCAGCAACTTTTAGGGCTGCTTCTGTTCTGAGTTAATAAATTTGTTTGCTAATTCAACACTGCCTCGTTCAATGCCTAAAGAACTGTAGATATAACATGACCTTTGGAACATAATAGGATTAACCCACCAATACCAGAAAGGCACACTGAACCTCAGGTTAAAGTTCATGCCACAGGAACAGGAACTCCAAACACAAAAGCCCAAGAAGGTATAAAAACCCACCATTCCCAGCAACAAGTGGTCAGATGCTCCAGACCCTCATGTTTTGGTTCTGGTCTTCAACTCCAATCTTCTTTCTAAAGCAGTCTCCATTTTGTTTATTCCTGGCTTGGACTGGACCCTGATGAAGACTTTTTTTTTCTACAATTGAGTATTTTTATGTAAATCTGTTAATATATAATTAGACCTAATGTTCTATCACTATCTCCTTCCTAAAGTTTTTTTTTGGGGGGGGCTGCCAGAAGAGAATCTTTTACTAGATGGAAGTCCTCTTAATAAGCCCAGAAATATTTCATGAATGGATGCTTTCCTGGGCAGCTCTCTTTAGTTGTTGCAAACTGTTATCCATCAAAGCCAGAAATACTGAAAATTCTCCAGCTTTGAAATGGAAGAAAAACAAATAGGAATGAGCTTGGAATTTGGAAGGTATAAGACTTTGGAATTTGAAGTTTAGAAAGGGGCGTTGTCTTACCTGAACGCCTTTTCTCAGCATGATGATGGAGACTCCACTAGTGGGTTGTTTTAATCTTGCTGCTCCAATAAGACTAAGTCAGAGTTAAAGTTACGCCTCTACTGTGTCCCCATGTTCCAGTTTGAGACTGAGTCGATGTACAGACATTAGCCCATGCAATTGCGTTTCCATTATTGGAATCAGGACCAACTGACCTTATCTGGGAGGGGGTGGAGTCTCCATCATCATGCTGAGAAAAGGTAAGACAATGCCCCTTCTCCAGCATGATTGGATGGAGACTCCACTAGTGGGACTTACCAAAGTCCTGTGTCCCTGAGGGAGTCAGTTTGGGCCTGTGATGTTCTAGATGGCAATACTTTCTGCAAAACTCTGCGGCCAAAGGAGGCATCCAAAGATGCATATTGGTCAATTTTGTAATGACGGATAAAGGACGAAGGGGAAGACCACGTGGCCGCCCTGCAAATTTCCCCTATAGAAGCCCGTGTCGCCCGAGCTGCAGAAGTAGCAGCACCCCTGGTGGAATGGGCTGTAATATTTCTAGGGACCGGTAATGACTGGTTCTTGTATGCCAGGGCAATACAAGACCTGATCCACCTCCCTATAGTTGATGAAGAGACTTTCTGACCTTTGGCCAAAGTTTGGAAGGAGATGAACAAGGCCTCGGACCTTCGGAAAACTGAAGTCTGCTTGATATAACACTGCAATGCCCTGCAGACATCCAGTGTGCTCCACTGGCTCTCAGTGTCCTGGGATGAGTCAGGACAGAAATTGGTAAAACTACTTCCTGGGACCTATGGTACAGAGAGTTCACCTTGGAAACAAAGGAAGGGTCAAGCCTGAGGACTACCTTGTCTGGGAAGAAAATGCATAGGTCCTCCCTGACGGAAAGAGCGGCCAGCTCCGAAATACGCCTGGCTGATGTGATTGCCACAAGGAATGCCACCTTCATTAATAACAAATCAAGTGAGCATGTCTCCATAGGTTCAAAGGGGGGTGCAATCAGAGCTTGTAAGACCTGTTCTAGGTCCCACGAGGGGTATCGGTGAACTGGAGGTGGCTTGGCGTTGTTAGCTCCCTTCAAGAAGGAACGAACCAAGGGATGGTGAGTCAGAGGGGTGGCATTTTCGCATATGAGGACAGTAGCGAGAGCAGCAACCTGTCTATGGATTGTGCTCGGGGATAGCCCTTTATCTAACCCATCCATCAGGAATTTCAGCACAATAGGAACCGAGACACTCGAGAATTCCACCTTATGCCCTGAGCACCAATTGCAGAAACTCTTCCAAGTGGCATCATATATTCTATTCGTCGAGGCGCGCCTGGATTGTTGAATCACAGCTATCACCCTCGACGAATATGAGTCATGGCTCAAGGCCTGCCTCTCAAGTGCCAAATGGTTAGATTGAGCCACTGCGGGTCCGGGTGCTGGATATCCCCTTGTGTGAGGGTGATACGACCTGCCGGAATCCTCCATGGGGGTGAGATGGATAGCTCCACCAGGTGCGCGAACCACGGTCATTGTGGCCAATGAGGAGCGACCAGGAGAACTTCCGCCTGCTCGTGTAAAATCCTGCGGATCGTGGCTGGAAGGAGCGGAAAGGGAGGGAAGGCATACAGCAGTTCCCTGGGCCAGGGACTGCGAAGGGCATCTGTCCCCTCTGCTGATGGAGACAGGAACCTGGAAAGGAACCTTGGTAGTTGTTTGTTGGTTGGGGAGGCAAAAAGGTCTAAGGTTGGGGCACCAAACCTGTCCACGATTTCCCTGAACACTCCCGGGTCCAGAGCCATTTGCCATGGTCCACTGTGGCTCTGCTTAGTGAGTCCGCCTGGTGATTTGTCGCCCCGAATATGTGCTCCGCCTTGATGGAAGGAAGGTTCAGCTCTGCCCAAGACCCCAATCGTCTGGCCTCCTGCATAAGGGGTCTGGACCTTGTCCCCCTCTGTCTATTTATGTGGGCCTTGGCAGCTATGTTGTCCATAAGCACTAATATGTGCTGACCCGCTATCACATTTTTGAAATGTTGTAGTGCCAGTTGAATGGCCCTGAGTTCCAGCCAGTTGATATTGTTTAATAGGTCCTGTTGGGACCACCAACCCTGAGCCCATTGCGACTGGAGGTGTGCTTCCCAGCCGAATAGGCTGGCGTCTGTGGTGAGGACAGTTCTGGCTGGTTCCTTGAACTCTGTGCCCCGTGCCAGTGCCAGGGAAGCCCACCATCAAAGGGAGTTCAACGCCGACTGCGGAAGTTGAACCTTCTGCCTGGAAGTGCTGATGCATAGTTTCTGAAAGGGAAGAAGGACCCACTGCAGTTCCCGGGCATGAAGATGGGCCCACGGTACAATGTGCACACAGGATACCATTTTCCCTAACAGCTGGGATAATAAGGCTAAGGTGACTACCTTGTCCTGGCGAATTCTCTGCACAAGAGCCCTGATGCTGTCCTGTCAGTCCTGGGACAAATAGACCATGCAGTTGCTGGTGTCTATTACTGCCCCTAAATGAAGGAGCCGGGTTGAAGGTATAGTATGGCTTTTCTGGAAATTTACAGAAAACCCATGCTCCTGAAAGGTCCTAATAGCAAGGGTGAAGTCAGACTGGGCCCTCTGGAAGGAGGAGGACTGTATTAAAATGTCATCTAAATAACATTGGACACGGACCGGGATCTGTCTGAGGTGAGCTGCCAGCATTGCCAGTGCCTTTGTAAAAACTCTAGGAGCTGCGGATAGGCCAAATGGTAAGGCTCTATATTGGTAGTGCTGGTGATTGTAGCAAAATCTGAGGAATTTGCGATGCCCAGGGAGAATAGGAATATGGAGATAGGCTTCAGTTAAGTCTATTGATGTTAGGAAGTTTCCCTGCCGGATGCTGGCCAAAATTGACTGTATGATTGCATTTTGAACTTCCTGTACATCAAGTAATGATTTAATTTCTTTAAATCAAGGATTGCCCTCCAACCCCCTGAAAACTTAGGAACAGTGTTGAGTAGAACCCCTGCCCTGCCTGGTCTTGCGGTACCGGTTCTATGGCCCGTATTTGTAACAGGTGGGAAATGGCCTCCGACATGAGGGCCACTCTACTCCTACTAATGGGGGCGGGGCAACTCCAGAAACGGTCCGGAGGATGTGCCCGAAACTCTAACATTAAACCTTGTGATATAGTGTTGAGAACCCAAGAATCTGTAGTTGTGGCTGCCCATGCATTATAGTAAAAGGACAGCCGGCCTCCTATGGGAGGTATGCTTGTGGGATCACTTGCCTCTTCTGATGGGGTGAGCTCTCTGGCCTCGAAATGGCTGCTTGCCCTGGAATTGTGGTCGGGTTCTAGGCATGGAACGATCTTGATGTCGCTCCGACCTCTGATAGAGACGCCACTTAGCTTTGAGGTCTGCCCGCCATTTGTTAAGCCACAGAGTCTGCGGGCTGAAACATCCGCTGCAATGGCATGTGCGGAGTACCTGGCGGAATTTAATGAGGCGTCAGCCAAGTACTGAGAAGTGGCAACTACCTTGCCCAAGTTCTGATGGACGTGAAGCTGATCAGGTGGAACCGAGCCCTGAAGCTCGCGCAGCCATAGAACCGAAGCTCTGGCGAAGAAGGTCATGGATGTTGAGGCCTTAATCACCCAGGCAGTCGCCTGATGTGATCTGCGTAACACCATTTCAATCCTTTTATCCTCAGCCTTAAGCGCCTCGGATATGTCCCCTGGTATGTTGATGTTGGGGAACAGTGACATCAGAGGCTTATCCACCTGTGGGACCTCCAGCAAGGAGGCGAGGGCAGGGGCTACATTGAACATGCTCTTCTCAATGGATCCCGGACTGGGAAGTGAACCCAAATTATCCCATTGCTTTTGCATTGCGTTAAGGAAGAAGGGGGGACATGGAACATGGTTCTATGGCACCACTGGTTCAGCATATATGGCATTTGGGCCCTTTGAGGTGGAAGGGGCCGCGGCCCCCTGTTCTGATGTAAGATTGGCTGTGGTGCAAGCCTTGAGAAGCAAGGAATTGAAGAGGGAGTGATTGAAGAGTCCGGTAGGTGGTACTGGATCCAGTGCCGGAGTGACCTCATCATCCGATAGGATCAGATGAGAGGAGTCGTAGTCCTCTGATCCTGACTCCGATGAGGCGTCCTCTGTGAGGTCTGGTGAATCTGGGCGAATCGGAGGCTGTGAGGCTGGTGCTTGAGGCAGATGGTGTGGGACAGAAGTGGCCATGAACTGAGTCAGAGCCTGAGTGATCATGGCCTGAACCTGTTCCGCTCCTAAAGGTTGAACCTCCGTGGAGTGGAGTCCTGCTGCCATGGGCATAAAGGTGGCTGAAGGCCCCGCCCTGCACTGGCTAGCAGTCCCCTGCATCATTAATTCCAATGCTGCCCTGTCAGGATCAGACTGCACTGTTTCTCTAGGAGAAGACCAGGCCCCTGGGGCAGAATTACAGTGAGCTGACAGAGGTTCAAAAATGGACCCTCCAGAAGGGATGGTGTCCACGGCCCCAGGAATAGTTGGCCTAGACCTAGATGAATCCTGTTCCAAAGATTGCTGAGGGGCAGGATTCTCTCTGCTACTGCTTTTGGGCTTCCTGGAGGACTTTGCCCTGGGTTTGGATGTGTTCCACCCTGTTGCCTCAGTAGAGGCTTTTTGTCTCCTCTTGGAAGGGGGCTCTGCATTATCTTGTGAGGATGAGGGATAAGAATTGTCCGCCATAGTCCTGGGCCTATCTGCTGTTAAGATTAATAACTGAAGTAACAGGCCTCAGGTAGATCAATTCAGTGGTGAAGCGCCCCCCCCCCTTGAGCGTTATAATCAGCCACTGAAGATCCAATCCAATGAACGTTGCACCCAGGTGAGGAGGGGTGATGGGGGTCAAATAAGGCGTGCGTCCCTACAGTGACGAGCTTGCCCTCCCCAGGCCGGACTGCAGCCGATGACTAGGCCCGAATACAAAATGGATGCTGCAAACAAAATGGCGGCTGTAAGAATCGCGCCAAAACTTCTCCAGGCCAAACTGCCTCAAACTGTGAAACACAGCTCAGATGAGGCCAAAACTTCTCCAGGCCAAACTGCCTCAAACTGTGAAACACAGCTCAGATGAGGCCAAAACTTCTCCAGGCCAAACTGCCTCAAACTGTGAAACACAGCTCAGATGAAGCCAAAACTTCTCCAGGCTAAACTGCCTCAAACTGTGAAACACAGCTCAGATGAGGCCTTTAGAAATGAGCCCTGCTCCAGCAGGAAACGTCTGGGCTCCTTTTAGTAATTGGAATCTGACCTGAATATCTCTATGTCCCTCGAAGCTGTTGCTGCACTGGTCCCTGGATGAACTCAATGCTCTGCTTTCCCAGGCCTAAGAGGCCGAGGCCTCCTTGCTCACGAGGAGCCCAATTTGGCCGGGTTAAGATTTAACTGTACGGCAGAGGCTAAGTGGGAAAGTAAGGAATAGTTCTCTCCCCAATAGATAGAAGTTTATCAGAAATAGTCTGAGCTACGAAAAAAACGTGTCTTAGGAGCAAAAGACTAAGTCTAAAACTGGGACATGGGGACACAGTAGAGGCGTGACTTTAACTCTGACTTAGTCTTATTGGAGCAGCAAGATTAAGACAACCCACTAGTGGAGTCTCCATCCAATCATGCTGCAGAATTTTACATTTAAAAAAGGAAGAAAAGGTTGGATGAATTTGTTGTCTTTTACAAGACATAAGATATTGCTGGGAAGCTGAAAATGATGAGTGGCTTATTTATTTTTATTTGTTTGTTTGTTTGTTTATTTGATGCCCATCTCAAAACTAGATCCTTAAATTTCATAGGAAATTGTCTATCACTTGTGGTATGACTGACACACTGAAGGTCATCAGATATAATTCACATTTTAAAAAAATGCTCCCCTTCACATTGGCTAATAAGGTTTATCACGTTGTTCTAAGTTTTCTTTTGTTTAAATAATAGAAAAAGGTTTCAGATAGACTATTGATTTCCCTGGATCAGTAGTTTCATTAATAGGTTGTTCTCTCCTGTACAAAAACCACAGGTGCCTTCCAATGAAAATGAAATCAAGTCACTACATTAAAGAAAAACTCTTCAGTATATATCAGTTTTCTCTCTGTATTGTCATCACACTGAAAGTTCTAGTTGGAACAGTTGCTTCTTCTCTTCCAGAAACATCAATGGTTATGAAACAAACATGGGTTTGTCTAGCCAAGTGTACAGTCAGGCAATCCAAGCAGTGTGTGCTGAGATATGAGCCATCCTTGTGAAATGGCTGACATTTGCTGAAATAACATGTTCTATGAAGGTCAGGAAATATCATAGGAAACTTAGTTTTTAGCTTTCTTTCCAAGAAGAAGAAGAAGAAGAAGAAGAAGAAGAAGAAGAAGAAGAAGAAGAAGAAGAAGAAGAAGAAGAAGAAGAAGAAGAAGAAGAAGAAGAAGGAAAGAAAGAAAGAAAGAAAGAAAGAAAGAAAGAAAGAAAGAAAGAAAGAAAGAAAGAAAGAAAGAAAGAAAGAAAGTTTGTGGGGCCTTCTTGACCAAACCTATGACTGTTTTAACTATTTCTCATGACTATTTGCAGAGGAAATGCAAGTTGGTCCCTGGGAAGAAAAGATATTTTAAGTACTGATGGGTTCTGATTGCTTATCCACCCACCTGCTGAGACACAAATGAAAGATGATGAGCATGGCAGTAACCAGCACTTTCAAGGAACGATAAGGTAGAAACAGCAATTCTTAAGTGTAAGAGACAACTTTGCAGCCTGCTTTCAAGAGATTATGAATGTCACATTACAGAATGATATGGGTGGCATATAATTAAATTTAATAAATATAGTTAAGGATATCAAAATGTTCAGCAAAAATGTTGAAATCTCTTCTACCAAATGTTGACAGTGGCTAACAATAGACATAAAGGAGATTTTTAATTATTTACTTGTAAATAT